CCAGCCTGTGGGTAATAAAGAATGAGGTCTTACAGTGACATGTGATTGATTCCAGTGTCAAGTGACACAATCTTAAACCTGGTGCTTTTCCATTTAGAAGGAGGGGTGGGAACCAAGAGAGACAAAGGAGTCCCGCCTTGGGCTAAAGCTATAAAAGGGGGTGGAACAAAAGGGTCCAGTCATGAGAAATCCCCTACTTACCACCGGTGCTGGAACAAGGACTGTACCAGGAGAAAGGATTGGGGTCAGACTAGGAAGGAGTCAAGTCTGTGAAAGAAGCTTATTGGAACATCTCTAAGGGTGAGATTTACCTGTATTCAATTTCTTAAATGTATTAGGCTTAGACTTGCGGTGTTTTGTTTTATTTTACTTTGTTAACTTACTTTGTTCTGTCTGTTATTACTTGAAACCACTTAAATCCGACTTTTTATTCTTAATAAAATCACTTTTGTTTATTATTGAACCCAGAGTAAGTGATTGATTAATACCTGGGGGAGAAAACAACTATGCATAACTCTCTATCAGTGTTACAGAGGGTGGACAATTCATGAGTTTACCCTGTATAAGTTTTATACAGAGTAAAACGGATTTATTTGGGGTTTGGATCCTATTGGGAGCTGGGTGTCTGGGTGCTGGAGACAAGAGTATCTGCCGAGTGGTTTTCAGTTAAAGCCTGCAGCTTCGGGGATGTGGTTCGAACCCTGGGTCTGTGTTGCAGTAGGCTTGCGTGTCTGGCTCAACAAGACAGAGTTCTGAAGTCCCAAGCTGACAGGGAAAATGGGCTCAGAGGTAGTTTCAGCACATCAGGTGACAGTCCCAAAGGGGTCTCTGTGACCGAACCTGTCACAATGTAGAGCCCTGAATTTAGATAATACACAAAATATCTGTTCAGCACAGATCAGAAAAGGAAGATTTTGTGCTGTTACACTAATTGACTTCCTCACCACAGAAATTGAAACTGTGTTCAAATCTTCCCACTTTTTGCCTATGTAACTTGCATTTCTATGATCCAACCTTTTTTTTCTGGCTACATATCTACAACTTTTCTCTGGGTCTTCATCACACCTCTTGATTACTTTAACCACCACCACATCCTCACAGGCCATCCCAGTAGCCGTATGACTTCCTACAATCCATACAGAATGCAGCTGCTAAGATAATCTTGCATGTGAACCTGACCATCTCTCTTCTTCTTTGAATCCCTGCACTGGCTTACCCATCTTCACTGCATCGAGTGCATGCTTTTCGTGATTGCTTTCAAGGGCCTATACAACGCTGTCCCTTCTTATTTATTTCCTCTTGCCTTATCAGATCATTTCCCATCCTCTGTGACGCCAGTCTTTGTAGCCCTGTTTGTCTGCTTATCCCACAATTGTCCCCCTGCTTTCTGCATCAATACATTTTGTGCATGGAATGCCCTTCCATAGCTGCCCCACAAAGCCTTTGTACTCCTTTTTAAAAATCTTTTGTAAGTAGTTACCTTTTCTGCAGTTTCCACCAGAAGTGAACTAAGGCTGGGATTCTTCCTTCCACACAGAAGGTGGGCTGAGTCACCCTTGCCTTCTATCTCCCTCTTCTCCAAACCCAGTGGAGGGTGTTGTGCAGGTGTAGGGCCCTAAGTTCCTTCTAAGCTGTGCGGGCACGCAGCAGGCTATCAAGGGCTGTGCAAGTGGGGAGAGGCGCTGCTTCCCCGGCCCTGGAGCTCCCCTGGCGGGGAGAGATGCTGCTGCCCCAGGCTGCTGTGGCAAGGAGAGGCTGGGAGGAGTTCTCTCCCTTGCCCTCCCTCCTTCCCCCCATCCCCTGGGCAGCCTGCACCCCAGAGCCTGCACCCCCAGCCAGAACCCGAACCCTAATCCTCTGCCCTGGCCTTGAGCCCCCTCCTGCACCCCAAAACCCTCATCCCTGGCCCCACCCCAGAGCCCACACCCCAACTCTCTGCCTGAGCCCCCTCCCAAACCCCTCGGCCCTACCCCCACCACACATCACCTTCATATTGGTGCACATAACACAATTCATTCCGCACATGGACGTAAAAAATTAGAGGGAACATTGGCGAGGGCTACTCTGGGAGAGGAGAATGAGAGAAGAATGTGCTCGGGACTCTCTGTGTCTTCCTTATCTTTTTGCTGATATTTTTTACCTGGAAAATTTATACAATCTGGACCTATGTTACAACTTCCTCTCATAGGAAATCCCAGGAGTAGCTGCAATCAGGGGTAATCCTTGCTAATGTCATTCCCTCACAGTTTGGCTGTCAGGAAGATGAAGGTAGGGAAGTGCAGGATAATGCAGACTCAGAGTGATGTAGGAAGGTCGCCTCCATAGCTAGCTCCCCATGTGTTTTTAAAATGAGGGATGATCAGGACCTAAGCCATCTACTTACCTATTTTATTTATCGCATGTAAGAACTGTTGAATGTTGGAAGAGAGTGGAATCTGGGAATTTCTATGAGAGAAAGATAAGAGGGTTAAATTGTGGAAGATGGTTGGGAGTGAGGGAAGAGAAAGGGGACTAGTGATCAATTAACTTCTTATTTATTTGAACACCAAAACCATGTAACTACTATGATAGATACCTGTTTTCACCATGGTCTTTTGTATTTTACATCTTTATCCTCCATTCTTCATCTATTATGCTCTTTAGGATAGGATCTGTGCCTTCATTAGTGCTTGTAAAGTATTTAAATACTCTCACATTTGAAATAGTAGTAGTAATTACTATCACTACTAAAATTTTTTTGCACCTTTCTTATATCAAACAAGTTTGCATAGGTTCAGAAAAGATTACTCTTTGAGGCAGTATTGTCGAGTGGGTAGTTAAGGGCTGTTTCTGTCATTGCCTGTTAGCTTCAGTGTCCCTACTTGTAAAATGGGGATAATACCCACTTGGGGAATTTTTTGGGGGGCGGGAGGTAGACGCTTTATATAAGGAATGTATTATTACAGAAGAAGAAAGGGGTGTACGTGTAGTTTCTTTTAAAAAAGTTGTTTGGCAAAATAACTAAAACTAAATAAAGCCCTGAAAAGCATCTGTTAAAGTGGTAATAGTTGAAATGGGCCCAGCAGGAACAAAAAGCCACATCTCAGAAGTTTTGTTTTAAATAACTTGGACCTGGTCTGAGCAGTATTAGAATGTACTTTTAATTTGGTAGTATGTATTTCTCCTTTATATGCCATTTCTTCTTTTGGTACAACTCCATTCTATCAGACTGCTACAATATTTCTTTGCTCAGAGTACAGAGTGGATGGAGGTACAGTGAAACCCCGCTATACTGCGATGTTTGGGGTCCAAAAAATTACATAGCGCTAAATGCGGGGTCGCGGTATAGCGGGGTTTCAAGCCCGTCAGTAGTCCCCAAGGCAGTGCATTGATGTGCGCCGCCTAGTGCCCCTAGTGCCTAGCAGGGGAGAGAAGCTGCAGCCCCGCGCCTGCCGGGGACAGTGAGCACCGGCGCCCACAGCCCTGTTGTTCTCTGTCTCTGGCAGCCGCGGGGCCACGGCTTCTCTCCAGCTTCAAGAGGAGCCGCGGTCCGGCGCCTGGAGCTCTCTGTCCCCGGCCGGCGGGGGCATTCTTTGCCAGGGACAGAGAACAACAGGGCTGCGGGCATCGGTGCTCACTGTGCCTGGCAGGCGCAGGGCCACAGCGTCTCTCCCCTGCCTGGCACTTCTCTCTTCTGTATTACTGTATGTCTTAAACGGGGGCCAAATTGTGATCGCGTTTTATATGCGATTCGCGTTATGGTGGGGCGCCTTATTGCGGGGTTTGACTGTATTACGTTATTAAGAGTGATAGATTTTTGTAGATGCTGTTTTGAATCCAGGTTCATGTTTCAGATATCTGTACTTATTTGTTCAGAAATCAAGTTTAAAAAAAAAAACCCCAAAACCCAACCCTAAGTAACTGATCTGTTTTCTACCTAAGTGGTCTTGTAACTTTAATCATAGAGAAAACATTGCACTGTCAAAGTAACATTTTTAGTCAACAGAAGAATTTAGGTGAACAATCTATCTACTTTAAGTGAAATATATTATAGAATAGCCTAGTTGCTTGGTGATGTGCAATTTCTCAGCAATTGTACTTCATTTCCAGGTTCAGGTTCACAGAAGCTAGGAATGTTGTTGTGTCCAAAATTGTGTTTCTGAGGGCAAGTCTACCCTACAGTGCTACATTGGCACAGCTACATCGATACAGTTGTGCTGCTGTAAACACACTATGCCAACAGAGTGCTCTCCTGTTGGCATAATAGCTTCCGCCTTTTGTGGAGGTGAAATAATGTTGGTGGGAGAGTGTTTCCCGCCAACATGGCTCTGGTGTGGACAAGGCTTAGGTTGATGTAACTTGTGTCGCACAGGGGAATCTTTCACACTCCTGAGTGACATAAGTTACATGGACTTAAGCGGTAGTGTAGACCAGCCCTTAAAGGTGTAAGATGAATGGAAATCTCAGTCTTGGTTAGCTGTGGTAACAGCTTTGATAGGTTTGGAGAGCCTTTTCTTGTCCTCTTGGCTGGAGGAATCAAGAGCAGTGCAGGATTAAAGGAAACATGTAGGGGAAAAATACCTATTCCATAATTGAGGAACCAGTGAAGTCTTAGAAACTCTGTAGGTTGTGAGCTAATATTCTGAGTTCCTGCCCTTGGGAAGACAGCTGCTAAAGGCATAAATCTTTATTGATGATTGGGAACAATATTGTGGAGGAGGAGAATGATAGACTACTATTCTAATTTTTCTTATAAAAATCTATCTTGCCTAACAGTAGTTTTTGTTGAATTACTTATAAATGATCATGTTAAATATTATTACAGGTGAGTCAAATATTAAAATTCTACCCTAAAAGCACAAAAATTAAATGTAGGGTGTTTTTTTTTAATTTAGTTACACAACCTGAGAGTACAGGTTGGCTCAAAATGACCAAGTTGTTTAGCCAGTTGTTCTCTTTTCCCCATTTAACCCGATTTTTAGGAAATAAACATTAACTCCTTGTCAAAATTTTATTTTTAGATAAATGAATTGGTGGATGCCCGTGATGTCAGCATTGGAGCCTGGTTTGAAGCTCACATAGAAAATGTAACCCGAGCAACAAAAGGACATAAGAATGGTAAAGCTCAAGCAAAAAGTGGCAATACTTACAGAAGGACTAATGGAAACTTAAGCCAAGATCATTCTAGAGAGAATACAAATAATTTGGACAGTGCACCTTCAACATCTTATTCAGACTGTATGGACACTGATGAAGATGCTATTTATCATATCAAGTATGATGAGTAAGTGCTCCTGATATTGTTATGAGGACACAATGTGAATTTATTTGGTTTGTGTAAACCAAGAATATTGTTGAAGAAACTTGGATCCTAGAGAGAGCAAGTTCAAAATTACAACCAAAAAGCAGTATTAAGAAGCCATAACACATTTCTTTTGGATTTAATGACTAATCGGGGCTTGATGAGAATTTTTTTTTTCTTACTCCTGAATTCCTATGAAGTATTTAACTTTTATGGCTCACCTTTATGAAACTTAAAACCCTCCCCTTAACAAGGAAGTGACATTAAAAATCAGATTTGCTGTATCTGTTTTGCTGCATAAGATATGAGTATAAGTAAAGCATAACTTTTTAAAATTTATATTACTCCCATTGAAGTCCAAATGGAGAGACAAATCTGGTGCTTGAATTGGATGAATTTAACTCAAGGGTAATATTGATGCACAAAGTTACCAATCTGCCTTTCATGTAAATCTTTACAACCAATCCCCCAATTGAGGGATTGAAAGCAATTCTATAATTTCAATATGGAATGAGGGTGTTGGGTGAAAAAATAAAGATTCAAACCTGCAATGAATGTGCCAGTGTAGACCCCTGTGTCAAAGTCCCATAGAGTTTAATGGGATTTCGCTACACAAGTCCTCACTGGTGCATCAGCTTACAGAATTGGGACCAAGATATTAAAAGCATCCTTCCATTTAAACACTTTTAGCAACTAAAGGAATAATGTTGAATATTCCGTTACATTGCTGAGTCTAAAAGACATGGTGCTTTTGTGTTTTGAGTCTTCATAGTAGAGGATGATGCACGTACCCTTGTACAGGGGTATAAAGGAGGTATACCTTGCTGAGGTTAATAATTAATGTTCTTCATCAGAGTTTCAAAAGAAACTTTAAATCAGCAATGTCTGTTTTAAGTTTTATTTTTTCAATATAATACAATAAAACAATTATTACTAGGAGATGTAAAAATTGATTTGCTATTTGTTGGGGACCGGAACATAACTACTTTTAGCTACTCCTGATAGTAGTGGGTTTTTTTAATGTGCTCATGCTTGAGGATCATTGTTTTTGTCTTTGTGCACTATCTGTTTAGTTAAGTTTTTTACATATGCATCTGTATAAACAAGTCATGTATCCATATATGTAAAATACAATCTCCCTCCCGCCCTCCCAATATTGTAGTTTAAAAATATCAGTAAGATTAAAAAGTTACAAGAAAATCCTGCAAAGTACACCTCTACCTTGATATAATGTTGTCCTCGGGAGCCAAAAAATCTTACCAAGTTATATCGAACTTGCTTTGATCCACCGGAGTGTGCAGCCCCGCCCCCCGGAGCACTGCTTTACTGTGTTGTATCCGAATTTGTGTTATATCGGGTTGTGTTATATCGGGATAGAGGTGTACCTTAAAAGCACTAGATATGATTAAAATATCACTATAGTGTGACAGAAGTGAATCATTCTATGATTTCAAAGATCCAGTTTTAAGACTGACTGACTTTAAGATAGAACAGAGTTGTTTAAAGGAGAGATGGTGGCACAAGCAAAAGCATAAAAAGATTTGTTGAAATGGCTTTTGTGACCACTAGAAGGAAATTGTTTCATCTGCTCAGCTATTGTCAATTCATATGAGTCCGAGAATTACTGGAGAGGTGAAGCAACCCTGGAATTAGAAGATATAGGATGCATGATGTCACTTGCGCAGACATACGACAAACACAATTTCAATTCTATTCCTCTACTGTCTGTACCATAAGGTTTAGCTGTGCATTTCTAGCAGGTGGAGACAATCAACTTTTTTTGGCTTCCTTTAATATGATCTGCAGCAGGTTTGTATTCTTAGCTAGTGACCATCATAACTGCATTGTTTTCTTTTTTTAACTGTCTGAAATTGCCTGAAAGTCGTGATTACCTACTTTCACTGGAATGAACTTTCTAAATATTTAAAGTGTGAGCTTCTGAGAACACAGTTTTTCTGAGGCTGTCTGGAGAGCAAGATCTCTGCATTTTTCAGTTAGTAGGGAAAGCTTCAGATATAAAGTTATCCCCTGGCAGACAAAACAGCTATCTAGTAATCAGGATGAGTGTTGCAAATCCATCAAGGTCCAACTTTAATCAAGTGATGTGGTCTTATTCTTCTGTGTGGAAAAACACAGAACATTGCTCAGTAATTAGAGAGTTTAGTAAGATTTCTGTTCCTCTTTAAATGACAGCTTCTTCTGAATCTAGACAAACCACAGATTATGTCCACATGTATCTTTATTATTTATTTGCATTGTGGTAGCACTTAGTAGCCCCAGGTATGGACTAGGTTCCTGTTGTGCTAGGCAGACTGTACAAACATAACAAAAATATATCCCTCTCTCAAAGACCTTATTAAAGACAAATTTGAAATACTCTGCGAATACCACCACTATCCAAGAGTAAATCCCTATAGAAGAAATAGAAAGCAGCACTCAGAATTTTTCCAAGAATTGTTATATCAGCCTCCATCCTTTTTAGTAGAACAGTCAAACAAATGAAATTTGTAGAAAAAATTACACAGTCTGACAATGTTGTATCAGAGGGTATCGTCACACTAATTGAACTTGCCTTAAAATATAAATGGAGTTAGCACGGTCATATCCATCTCCCAGTGGATAATCTTTTGAGGCACGTGAAAGTCTCACCATTAGACACCATTGAAAATTCGTTTTATCTTGCCAGTAACTTTCTTTCTCCAAGTGGGCAGCAGCTGTTCTGTTAGGCCAGTACTCCTGGTCTCTCAGCCTTCTTTCCATGCTTTTGAGGTAGACTCAAGATCCCTCTTATCTTCCCCCATCCCAGTTGATTGTCAGCTCCCACATTTCTCCCAGCTGGGACCTATATATAAATATATAATTTTATAAAAAGATTAACAATTGAAGTGCTTCACTAAAAACACTTTCTCTTACTCACTCTCTAGATCTCCTCCTATCAAACCAGAAATGTTTATTCCTGTGCTCTTTCAAGCCATTGAGGCTTAGAACAACAATTATATAAGCACAGGGTGGGTTCTAATGGAACAGTGGGAACACTACAGGTAAGGAAACTAATTTTACCTTTCTCCTATGTGGGTACCCACTGTTCCATTAGTCTAGTACTGATGGGAAATAGCAAGCAGTAATAAAAATCCTCCAAGAAAATTGGGGGTGGGAGGGAGAGGGGGGGAAAGGAATAGTCATGAGAACCAAAACAAAGTTTTATCCAACAACAAACTTTTTTTTTAAAGGATTTATTGCAGAACACAGAATTGAAACTAAAAGATCCTTTTTTCAAAAAGTGTGCCATATGAGGCTAAAAATACTATCTTGTGTGAGCCAAGTAAAGGAAGTTGGCTTAAGACCATGTAGCTGAAAGACAGTTTTTATTGTATGGTCCTGCTCTACCCTTGAAGTAGTCGTTGCACCTGGCCAAATGAGCCTTGTCTGCACCCGGGGGTCTTCAATAGACACCTGAAAAATAGCTGACAAAATATTTTCTGGGTGGAAAATATTAGCTGTGTACTCTGTCCCCTATATAAAATGAGTATTATCGTTATTTGTGTTTTCATAGTGTCTAGCAGCTCTAGTCAGGGACCAGGACTCTGTTGTGCTAGGCACTGTACAAACACAGAACAAAAGTGTCTATTGGACTTCCTCTAAGGCCTTGTTATATGTAAATAGAATTATTCTAGGGCTGTCAATTAATTGTAGTTAACTCAAGCGATTAATTTTTGTGAGTTAATTTGTTTTGAGTTAATCACGATTAATCACACAATAATAGAATACCAATTTACATTTATTATAATATAAATATAAATGTTTTTTTATATTTTCAAATATATTGATTTCAGTTACAACACATAATACAAAGTATACAGTGCTTACTTTATATTTTTTATTAAATATTTGCACTGTAAAAAAGAAACAAAAGGAATAGTATTTTTCAAGTCACCTCCTACAAGTGCTATAGTACAATCTTTCTTGTGAAATTTACAAATGCAGATTTTTTTTTTTAACTGCACTCAAAAATAAAACAAAACTTTAGCGACAACAAGTCTACTCCATCCTATTTCTTGGTCAGCCAAATGCTAAGACAAACAAGTCTGTTTACATTTATGGTAGATAATGCTGCCTGCTTCTTATTTATAGTGTCACCTGAAAGTGAGAACAGATGTTCACATGGTACTGTTGTAGCTGGTGTCGCAAGGTATTTATGTGCCAGATATGCTAAATGTTTGTATGCTTCGATCACCATTCCAGAGGACGTGCTTCCATGCTGATGACTGGTTCTGCTCAATAATGATCCACAGTAGTGTGTACAGACACATGTTCATTTTCATAATCTGAGTCAGATGCCACCAACAGAAATTTTCATTTTCTTTTTTGGTGGTTCAGGTTCTATAGTTTCTGCATCTCAGTGTTGCTCTTAAGACTTCTGACACCATGTTCCACACCGCATCCCTCTTCAGATTTTGGAAGGTACTTCAGATTCTTAAACCTTGGGTCAAGTGCTGTAGCTATCTTTAGAAAACCCACATTAGTACCTTTTTTTGCGTTTTGTCAAGTCTGCAGTGAAAGCGTTATTAAATCGAGCAACATATGTGGGTCGTCATCTGAGACTGCCATAACATGAAATATATGGCAGAATGTGGGTAAAACCACAGACCAGGAGACATACAATCCCTCCCAAAGGGTTCAGTCACAAATTTAATTAACACTTTTTTTTTTAAATGTGTGTCATCCAGATGGACGTATGTCCTGTGGAATGGTGGCCGAAGCATAAAGGGGCGTATGAGGGTTTAGCATATCTGGTACATAAATATCTTGCAACGTTGGCTACAACAGTGCCATGCGAATGCCCGTTTTGACTTTGATCCAAGTGAAAAGCAGTATTCCCCTTAGGAACAAATGCAGGAAGTGGGATAAAGACTCTTCTGTCAAGAAAAATGGTAGATAAGGGCTTTTTGATTACTGCACCAAGTTTGCCCACTCTTCTAGCT